TAATGGAAAGACATGTGTATTTAGCATAAATTACATTGAGATATTCTATTTACATTTCAAATATGATTAAAGAAGAAATATGGTAAATTAATTACAAAAACGGCTGTGCTAAGATAATATTATGTTGGGTCACAACTACGCTGCACGGCCAGTACAGTCTGTAATGTGTGAAAGGGTTAATTGGCTGATCATTAAACAGACCTTGAGGGATATATTTCAAGAAAAAAAATCTAATTCCATGCACAAGTCCTGCTGAGAAGCATTAACATATAAGATTTGGACCCCTAAATGTTAACTTTAGATGAAGATAAATTAAGTACTCCCTCAAATGATAAGAAAAACAAACTGACGTAATGACTGCCAATGGGAATTTGGCTTGATGCAGTCATGTGAGAATCAAGTGTTACAAAATAGGGAAAGGAACAGCTACTATATAATAATTTCTCTATAACAGAAATATTAAATAAACAGAATCACTATACAATATTCAAGACCAGTAAGTTTAAATCACTGCATATAAAGCTAAGACCTCCAATTTAACCAAAATTTTAAGGTCAGTTGAACTGAGAGTGAAAAACAATTTTCTCACTTGGTTTTATTCACAATGAAAAGATATCACAAAACCAAGCTATCAAGTTGCACACATGAGAATCACTAACCTAACGTTACAAGTTTCTATAAGCTTAACTGTGCCAGAAGATCCACTCGTATCTGGCACTTAAATGGGATACAGTCTGTACACGTCATAAAGTAGCAAAATTACAAAAGAGGCTCTTTGTATTTACATGATCATTGTATAATTAGTTGCATTAGCATAGACACTGGAAATATCCATTAAGATCAGCATAAAATAGATGATACAAATGCATCCATTATATACAGTAACCCACCATTGGCCTATGGATACTACAGGTATGAATCTTTTCATTTACCGAAGACTTGTAAGGAGGTCGAGGCGTGCTCATCTCCATACCTTGTTCACCAAGATCCAAATTCCCAATTCAATGCTTGTTGTTTGTATTTCCTTTAGATTTATTTTTCAAAAGTACTTGTAAGTACAAAATGCCTAAATGACACATTCAAGACTGCTTTTTCCACTTTTTACTAGAATTGGGACCCACAACCCCGATACCCCTCATAAACCAGGACTGGGACTAGACTCATGTTGGTTTGACTAACACACAGCAGTCATGTGGAACTTTCACTAAGAAGAGCCAAGGTAAGAACAAGGCACAAACATCACGTCACGCAACACAAGAGTGATTAAAATGCCATATCTAAGACTTGTGCATCTTTAAACTAATATCTGGTGGACTGATATTCTACCAGGACACCCTTAGCTGTGGCTGGCAAAGCATGGATAAGCCAGACCATTTCTGGATATGGCTGCTGCTTGGAGATATCTAGAAAGTAGGTGTGGCACTGGACTGTTTCCAGGGCTCCTACATTGTAATGTTTAGAAGACACTAAAATTTGGCAGACAAATACATGTTAGCATGTGGAAAGGCACATAGAGCAATCGCCGCAGATGAAAGAAGCAGGAAAGGCAGGGATGGATGAGGCATTTTAGCCAAGAACCCTGTTTCTCCCTCACCAAACTCCCAATGAATACAAATGTCACTAGTCAAAGAAGATGCCTAATGTGACTTAGACCTCTTGACTATCTCACAGCTTGTGTTGATAACATTTCCACAAAATAGAGAAATAAAGTTAATGCTATTTTGTAACTGATATGGAAGAACAGCAGAATGGTATAATAGCAAAAATTTCACACCTTGTCACACCACATAGAAGATTTAAAGCACCTTACCATATTGAGATGTATTGAAGAGCATCAGATTTTCTTTATACACAATTTTATATACAACAAATAATTTCTCTATTGTATGATAAAAATATATATACTGTATTGACTAACATACTTTTACTGGCAATTCAGGATGAATCATTATGAACATATCAGCATTTTTTTTTATCTTCCATATTCAATCACTAAAATGACTACTTCTTGAAAAAGAAAATCAAAATCTGAGATTCACTTATGAGCATTAACCCAGAATGCTAGAGATATATGGCATTTTTTTTTTTTGTTCAGCATTCTTAGAAAAGGTTAGCTTTTTTCTTAAGTTCAGTTTGTTTCCAGCTCTGAAGACTGTAAAACTCGTCCCTGCTCATACCAAGTGCCTCAGCAAATTCCTCATTACTAAGATAAACTTCCAGATGTAAGGGATCAGCACCATCAGGCAGAGGCTTGGTAGTCAGCTCAGCTAAAGAGTAGTTGGTGCGAGAGAGCTGGGCCAAGATGTCAGACACTGAGTGCTGGCCGCCATCATTCCACCGACCCTCCTGGGGAGAGGGAAACAGAGTTCAATTAAGTTTTGCATTATTACCAAGACAAAAAATAACTATGTATATTTGTTTCTAAAGGCAACTTCATGATAACAATAATAGTTTCACAGAATATATCACACACACATACACACACACAAACACACACACACACACACACACAAGCACACACACACACGCACACATTTATAACTTTTCTCTTGTAACTGTTTCAAACGAAAATTGATGCATAAACATTTTATGAAATATGTTATTTGTCAAAATAACTTAGATCTGGTATGCACTTTCATGCATACAAATCTACTTAACTGATAAACACTTGCTATATTTATAAATCTCCTACAGAATAGTGTTTATTGTGCTTTCAGACACCATAGATATTTGGAAAGTACTTTATTCATACAAACATGAAAAATTCTAAACTCTACATTCTAAAATACTAACTTCACAGTACCAACCTCCCAATATTTTGCTTAACCACTATCAAGTACTGAGCGAAATCACTTTAATATCATATTTTTTCTCTCTCTTTCTCTTTTTGTAATTTGCCTACTTACTGTTGATCTTTCTTGTCATTTTGGCAATTATTTCAACACAATGTAAAACCATAGCAGTGAAACAATACTTTCAGTATTGTATTTTATACCACTATATAATAAAATGATTAATCTACAATCCTACTATCATTCTACCTGGGTTATAACTGAATCTGTCAAAGAATTCAGACACATCTCAGAAATCAAAGATGAAAAAAAAAAAAAAAAAAAAAAAAAAAAAAAAAAAAAAAAAAAAAAAAAAAAAAAGACAACACTGAAGTTAGCAGTACACCTTCACTTACCACACACAACAGCTTCTTCTCCTAGAACATATAAACTCAAGTTGCAAATAAATAATATAAAAAAAACATAAGCAAATAAAAAAAATAAATAGAATTACATAAATCAAATAGAAAAGATAAGCATCCTGCCTTCTCCATAGTCCACTATTGAACAATGTGCTCAAAGACTCTGACTGATATATTCAATTCATGGAAAGCAAGATTTTTTTCCTGACTGACAATTTATGAGTTTTCAGAACAATGGAAGTTGCAATTACTTTTAATAATATATTTTCATCCACCTAAAATAACTAACATATCCTATTATCAACTTGCACTGGCTAATCTAAGTTCCACAGTCGTAAATTACTCACATAAATAAGGCAGATAAGACCTAGAAGTATATTCAAACACACACACTGATACAGAACATAAATACATCTTTTGTGTTCAGAAACTGCATGCCACAAACACTCTAAGGTATACAGCTCCTTCTAGGACTTCACTGCTCCCCAAGTCATTGAAGTTCCTGCCTCCGTAACAAATACATGCAGTTGTATAGCCATCAGACTACAATCTCACACAGGAAAGTTTTATTCCCCAAATCTGGTGTTCCTCCTGAGCCTTAGTAAGAGTATCCTTACAGGAGAGCAGCAACGTATCTTCTACTCCCCCATACGGATTCTCTCGCCAAAGCCAGGCAAGCTGCTATTCCTTGCCAGCTCCTCCTCCAGGTATTTCAGTGGTTATGCTCTTGTCTCTATGGAGTCTAGTCATTTGCTTCTTCTTAAGTACAAACCAGTTTCCTGGCATCCATCATACATAAAACTGGCAGAAACATCACATACTATAACACACAGTGATGTGCAATGCTCAGAGCATATACTTTAGAAGTTTACCTTTATATAACCTACACTGAGAGTTCTACAACTTAAGATACGACAATAAAACATGAGACAATATAATGACACAGTAAAGTAAATCAGTCTTCTAGTGACTGGTCTTACCTTCTCCTGAATGGCAGTCACATCAGGTCTGGGCGTCCACGTAGGGAAAATACTGGTGAACTCTAATGGCTCCATCCCTGCAACCACCAACTGTGGCTCCACTACATCCACCTCAACCTCAATCTGTTCCCAAGGTGAGAAAGGAAATGGATGTAGAGTTATGTTTACCATGATACTCCTTATTCATAGACACTACTGATCTCTACATCTTAGTAAGAACATATGAATCATGAAGATACACATATTCATAGTAAGTGCCAATTCTACTAGGCTTTTATTTTTGCGTGATTTGACCATATTCTATTTTTGGATATAAATAGAAAGAAACCATACCTTTTTGTAACTCTTTGCAGCCAAGGCCTTGGCTTGTGCCTTTGCCT